ATATCAAGTTCAAAAGAAGATAGATAGATAGATAGAAAATTTATTTGCTTAAAAACATGGTACATAAGATGATCAATGACGTGGAACTGACATGTTTTGCCATAATTGGCATGGAAAAATGATATGAAATACAGCTAATTACACAAACCCGATGTTGCTTAAAAGTTAGGTACACACATTCTTTTTGAATTCAAATATTATGTACAATTAAATACTTATACAGATCCACTCTATTTGAATTCTTATACAGTAAATTGTTCATAAATTATTAATTGAATTATTATATTATTGTTACATAAATAATATTAAATATTATATGAGATTAGTTAAGCTATTATTATTTTATTAATTACACTTCAGTATAAACTAATTCGTAATTTTAATTACAATAAAATTATAATTTAAAAATCTCAGGCTATTATGCAAATATTACCTTTTAACTTATTTTACATTTTAATTAATAAATAATCAATATGAGTTACTAATCGTTTTTAGAAATAAAATGTCAATGTTCATTAATTCCTTAAACTAAATTTTATATTAATATAATAAATTTGACGAATTTATAATTAATTATGTACATAGGTACTATGTTAACTCAAAAAGAAAATTCGTATTCGTAGAAGATGATGAATTGTGGTTTTTATCGTTGAAATCCCATATAGTTTTTTCTGATTCCAGCAGTTCTAAAAACTTTATTGTATTTTCATTAATCCACTCGAAAGGCATTTTGGTAGATCGTATTTATTTAATAACAGGACGGCACGCACGTCCGTTCATCCAGGCGCTTGTCGCGAAGTGAGCGATGGAGCTGAATGTGAACACACACTGCCGCTCGCGCTGCCCGTCCTTTGACTTCCGCACGAAAAACCGACATTTCGGGCAGTGTCAGCGGCAGCGGCAGTGTCAGCGCGAGGAGCCCGTTTACATACTGCCCTGCTCACTGCCCTGCTCACTTCCCTGCCCAAACGGGCTGAATGTAAATGGGGCATTAGACATGGCGGAAAATGAGTCTAACTAAAATTTTATATTTGTACACTACACTAAATAATAAATAAAAACAAATTCACTAAATCTTAATTAACTTCCCTAGTTTTTTCCCTAGTTTTATTTATTTGTAGATATAGATTTATTGATAAATTTATAATTCGAAATACGTTAAACAGGTGTATAAAGTAAAAATAAAAAATGAAAAAAAAATATTTTTTTTAAATACAGTAGAGCGTCGATTATCCGAAAGGATCAAGAACTACTAACTAGCTACTAGCTTCCCCGCGCAGTGCCCTATGTTAACCTACGTTCAGTACCGATAGCGCTGAACGCTTATGTTTTAATTTTACTATATTAGCTCACAATTTAAGACACCTAAACGTAAACGTGTTGTTATTTCCATAAGAGATAAATACGAGATTAACAAACAATTAGAGGAAGACGAATCAGCAACCAAGTTATCTAATGAGTACAAAGTGGAGATAAAAAAAACCAAAAGACGACCATATTATTTATATCCAAGCTTGATTCTACTGATGGATCCACAAGCCGTAAAATTATGAAGCTCGCCACCGACACCGATCTCGATGTCGCTGTTTACAAGTGAATTACATTTAAAAAAATCACAAGAAGAACCTATCTCCGATCCCACTCTATGTAAAAAAGCAATAAATTTAATGAAAAACTTGGAGGGCCGTCGAACTTTCAAGCAAGTACGAGCTGGTTAAAACGGTTTAAGTCAAGACTGTTTTTTCATTCGTGAACTTCAAATAAAAAGGGAAAAACTGTCTGCTGATTGTTAAGCAGACGATTCTTTCAAAATCAAATTATGCGATGTATTGAAAAAAGATCTTGCTCTAGAAAACGTTTATAAACCCGACGAAACTGGGCTCAATTGGAAGGCTTTGCCACGAAGTAATAGTCTCACTATTGGACTAGTAAGTTGGTTTTAAAACTGAGTTATCTATAAATACATACAATATACAATGTTTTATAAAGATCTGAGCATTCATTATGAATTTCGTTCTGCAATTGATTTACAGACTGTGATAAGAAATCAGCCACATTGCTGTCACTTCTACCATACTTTAATGTGAAATTATAGGCATATAAAAAGTTCGCGTAACGTTGAAGCTGATTAGCCGCCATGTCAGGTACCTGTACTCTTTTTGTTTCGAAAATGGTTAGTAGGTAAGGGCTTATGATCCGTCCTTAGGATAAACGGTACCGTTCGACCATACCAAGAGTGGTAGAAATTTCAGAGCATACAAGGGTTGTCCGTTCTACTAGAAATAAGAATCCTATTTATAAAGTATAATTTACATTTTATTATATAATTTTTTACTATTGGTCGAGGGAACTGTGTGGTGTTTTAAAAATGTGATAACATAATAAGATAAGCTGGTAGGGAAAGAATTGTCAGTCTGCTTTGATCTATTAAACGGCCTGCTATGTAATCCGCATTTTATTGTAAATTTAGTCCTAAACAGGACAATGCTATATCATATTAGAAGTTTACCATCTGAAAGTTCTTATTATTCTCTTACTCAAAATATCTACAAACAGTATTGAAATCCATTAATTTCTGTTAAAAAGATGTATTCAATGTATATTACAGCAGCAGGAGCCTCGGTGGTTTTAAATAAATATTCTACACTCTCAGTAATTAATACATAGTATGCAAGTATATGCATGTGGCACACCTATTTTTTAATAATTAAACTATTTCATATAAATAATGTTATTTTATTTTTTCACCACATAGAGCCAATGTAAGTTCTTTTTAACTAAATTTAATATGATTTATAGGAAACAAAGGTGTGTTATGTCCATATTTTCATTGTTTTTTAATAAATTTGCATAGAATAACCTATTTTCAACATAATATATAAAATAAATTATATAAATTACAAAATATAATAATAATTATTAATATTAATTATATATATTAATAATAAATTTATATGGCAGATGTGAACGGCCGAGTCGGGAAGGGACACCCTAGAAAAAGTCTATCGACCAAATTGGCGATATTTTGAAAATGGGCCACGTTAGAAGTACCCTTAACCGACGAGCATGTATGCGTAGATATATGGATGTAAAGGAGGCGAAAGAGGTATGTCAGGATCGTGCCAAATGGAAGTCCGTAGTCTCTGCCTACCCCTGTGGGTGACAAGCGTGAGTGTTTATGTTTTTTTTATATAAAATAATCAATCTTATCTAAGTATTGGTACTAATATTGTATTTGAAAACTATATAATTTAGTCCTGAGTTCATATGATTATCTGGGGGCACGGCAGTGCCCCCGTCTATCTTTTCTCGAAGCAATTCAGGCCATTTTCAACCCCCTATAACTTCGTAGTGGATAAAACTAGAAACCTGAATTTTAAGTAACCAAGTAGGCATTGTATAAACATGGTATTTTTCAAATTCCATTCAATTTGAACCAGTAGTTTAAGAATTATAGCTAGTCAAAGTTTCTTAATTTTGTCACTCACTGACTGACCGATCATCAAAACTCTAAGGCACTTATAGCAGACATAGAAGCTTAAAATTTAGAATACAATTAGAGTTTAGTCTATAAATCAAGGAAAAACTAATAATATTTTATATTTAGATCCATGTAATACCAAGTCGCTTAATTTATTCAGTTCCTACTTAAGGGTCCTTCTGTTTTAAGTTATTATGTAATTAGCTAACCTGACAACATTTTATAGTGACCATACCAATGTTAAAATTCTTTTATGTTTTAAATATATAGATTGACTTGGCAATCACATTAAGCAATCTAATTTAATATAATATGTATTACTTGTGAGATATATTGCGTTTTCGTGTGATGGCCAAGTCAATCTTTATATTTAAAACATAAAAGATTTTTGACATTGGTATGGTCACTATAAAATAGATCCCTCTTATCTCAGTCTTAACCACTTGTTGGAAAATTTAGAAACACTGTCTTACAGATTGCTGTTGTTATACCAACAAAAGAATACACTTAAGTTTTTTTTTTCAGTTTTCAGTTTAAGATTCATCTCCTAATCTCAGTCTTTGTCTTGTTGTAGGTTTTGACTGGACACATGATGCTATGAATTGCCTCTTAACATTGTAGTCTTTTTTGGATCCCAATAAAAAGTAAATATCTCTTTCTTATTCGGCTCAGATATTTTAGTACTGCATTTCATGCCGCAATTCGTGCTACATGCAACACTTTTGTTCATGTAAGCTTAAGATCATTTCTAATTCGTTTTTTTCCTGTCTGCTCTATCGTACTTTTATTTTTTTGGTAGATTATTATGAATTTGTTGTAAATTATTCTGGCATATAGAATTTGGATATGATTGGAACACCCTCTTCAAGTTTTGTTTCCAGCAAACTTTTTTTAAACTTACCGTTTACGATTTATGGCCCATTTAATGAACCGGTTTTTCTGTCGGCACAACTCTTGAAATATTAGATTAATCAATACAATGCATGAATTTATTTTGAAAGATCAGTTTATTTTCCAAAACTTTTGTTTGAAACATTGAGCTATTATATACTACGTACTACCCCGGCTCCACACGTTGGCCCCAATATAGGTCCCAACGCTACTCGTCCAACGTGTGGATCTAGAAAATGGCATTGGTCCCAACGTTGGGGCGAGCGTTGGTAGTTGGCCGGCTCGTGTCGGTTTCATCAAAGGAATCTGCGCCAACGCTCGCGATCTGTCCACACGTTGGCACTTTGCTCAGTTCTGTTGCAACACGCAGCAAGTGCGTACATCAAGCGAGAATGGCTTCCTCATCCACAAAATCGCCACCGGAATGGACGATTGAAAAAGTCATAGAATTTATTGAACTTTATCAAGCACATCCAATAATATGGGACGCAACTCGAAAGGATCATAAGAATAAAAATTTATTAGCTGATGCATGGCGCACCATTCAACAGAATATGGGAATGAATTTCTCAATTGAAGATTTAAAAAAAAAGCGAGAATCATTAATGAGCACATATCGCCTTTACAGAAAGAAAATTAGTGACTACTCGATCTGGATCATCAACAGATGATATTTTTAAACCAAATTGGTTCGCTTATGAGCTCATGGATAGGTTTCTTGCTCCGATTTATGATAAATCAGATACAGTTACTATTAACACAGAGGTAAGATAAACATTGATTAATTTTTACTTTATTTATTTACATAGATAAAATCACAAACTGTGCCAAATTACATACTTAATCTAAAGCACTTAGTTGTAGGAGTGGTCGTTACGAAACGTAACTAGTTACTGAAACTATCTATTCACACAATAGCGAGTAGCGGGTTACTGCAGTGCAACGAAACTATCTATTACAGTAGACGTTTTACTCAGTAACACGATTCACGTTTCACGAATCACGAACGAGCGATCAGTAACAAAACGTTTATTCGGCTATTTTCGCGACGCGTCGGCGACGGCTTCGGCTGTTGAAGTAGAAGCACATGAGTAAAAAAAAACCGACTTTTTACGCTGTGGTAGAAGTACCACCGGTTGTCGAAAGTCGAGTGAGCGCGTGTGCTTTTGCATTTGACCTATGACTCTATTTCCTTCGTATAGATGCGATATTAGAAATGAGAAAGTAAGTGTACATGTTTTTAACAAAAAATAGTTCAAATACCATAATTTAAGTGGCCTTGGCCCGGTTTACATTAGTCTTTTGTTTAAGTTTAATGACACGGTTTGTTTTTACTTTTTAGGCGCGTTTGTTTCCTTTTTGTGCAACAATAATAATATTTTTAGTAAAATAAGAACTAAATATAATTGTATATATTAGTGTTGATAATAATAATTGTACAGTAATTAGTGTAAATAACTAAGTGTAAAAATAATACTAAAACTTTATGTGATTGTTATCAAAAATGTCTCGAAGTAATGCCAGTGTACTTCGAAGTGATATTTTTATCAAACCGTGCGAACTGATTTAACAAATAAATAAATTTAACCATTAACACCATGTCTAATTCTATACGAAACGGTAACAACGGTCGCAACGTTTTGCAATTGAACACGTCGTGAAACACTCTATTGAAGCCGCTATTAAAATAGAGTGTTTCCAAACCCTCTATTAAAATAGAGTGTTTCAAAAGCCGCTATTGATATTCGATAGATAGATTCGTTTCGTTACTCAAAGAAGCCGCTACTACCCACCGCTACTTAGTTGTTTATTTCGAAAAAATCACCTGGGTAGGTAGGTACACTGAACCACAGGCTAGACGTAACATGATGACCTTGAGCGCGCCTTTATGCCCTACGTATTAAAAGATGTTTTCGTAGTGCAACTGTTACATAGATACATCTGACCTGTGGCTCTGTGTACCTAAATCTACATAATAATTTTGTAGGTCGGTAGATTTTTTATTTAGTGTGAATAAAAGTATGATGCATATTCATTACGTATTTCTCTAGCATTTTCTGTTGTTCTAATTGGTACTTGATCTAGTGATCTTAATTGTTGCTCTTCTAAAACATTATCTATATTACCTTCCGGCATATACATACGGTAGGAGTGCTGACTCTTTTTCAAAAAATTATGAAGTACAACGCAAGTGAGTGTTATAATAGATGCTTTTTCGGGTTGTAGTAATATATTGGTTTTTAACACTCCAAATACCGATGTCATTATTCCAAATGCACATTCAATCACAACACGAGCCCTTGATAGTCGACTGTTGAATTTTCTATTTTGTGAGCCAACTGGCGGTGTACCAGGAAAAGGTTTCATGATCCTTTTAGATAATGCAAAAGCTCCATCTGCCACAAAAACATAGGGCACAGGAAGATGTCGATCAGGTAAAGGAGCGTCTTGCGGAAAAAAAGGAATCAGGTCCATATATTTTGTTATAAAGCATGCTATCATTAAAAACTCCACCGTCACTCATACGTCCATGTGTTCCTACGTCAGCAAATAAAAAGTTGTAGTCACTATCAGCTACCGCTAGTAATATTATACTGAAATTGTGTTTATAGTTATAGAACTCTGATCCACTATTAATGGGTGACTGTATTTTAATGTGTTTCCCATCGATAGCGCCCAAACAATGTGGAAATTGCCATTTTATTTCAAATTCTCGAGCAATCTCAAGCCACTCGTGTTCATTTTGTGGCATCTAAAACAGAAAAAAAATATCAGTGTAGGTAATAGTTAATAATTTAAATAAGGGTTGAAATTTACTTGTTGTGTTTGAATTTTTAGACTATGGAGTTTCCTAATGAAGACAGCAATCAAGATAGAAGCTTTTCTAATGAAGGCAGCATTCAAAATAGAAGTTCCACGTCAGCCAAAAAACGGCGAGAATCAGAAGTCACGGAAGTACGAGCTCAGGTTAAGACAGCTGTAAATGTCCTAAAAAATCTCTCCGACCGACCACGAACTGAAGTGGACGAGGTAGATTTATACTGTCAACTACTGGCCAAAAAAATTAAAAAATTTAATGAGCAACAAAGGGAGGTTATAATGCACGATATAGACGAACTTATTTATCAGAAGCGAAATGAGTCTTACTTAAATATTAATAGCCCTGCTCGTAGCAGCACTTACTCGTACGTAAGGTCTACCCCGGATTCCGTGCGTTTTACACCTACACCGTCCCCTTCATCACAAATGTTGGCGTACGATATGTCTACCCGAGATTCCGTACGTTATGCACCTATAACATCCCCTTCGCCTCAAGTGATGCCAAGCCCGTCATATCACGTTGCTGATGATTATAGTGATTATACAGTTGTATCACCAAATCATAGCCAAGTAGAATATGTGACAGGTTCATCCACCTCCACCACATCTACTCCAAAGGTGACAATTATATCAAATGATATTATCTCTCAGGCATTTACTCTTTCTCAGATACAAAATAAGAATTGAATGCTAATGCAAGGACTCGATTGCTTTCTCTAATTATTTTTCTCAATAAACGTGTTTTTGATTATTATTATTATGGTTTTATTTTACAAAATATACAAAAATACTTACTTTTACAAAAGAACGCAATGCCTCACATAGTGCTTTACATACTTCCGGCACGATCAACGATATGACTTGAGAAATCTTAAATAGGTAATGAAGACTTTTGAATGAATCACCAGTCGCTAAAAATCTAAGTGTCACAGCAAGGCGTACTTTGGTTGGTATTGAGTCTCTGAATACTGTATCTTGGCTTTTTTATTCTTGGTCCAATCAACTGTAGAAGGTATTCGAAATCTATCGAAGACATACGACAAAAGTTATCAAACTGTCCTGATGGCTCTTGAATCAAATTACTCAATAATCGGGTTCCATCATACCTAAAAAAGAAAGAAAATGTAAATATAGAATCAAAAAGAAATTTAATATTACAGCTCCTGTAAACAACTGCTGATATAATTATAGTTTGTTGTTGATGTTATTAGAATATTTAAAATGGAGTGTATAACAAGATCTTTACTCACTGATTCAGTGTTTTATGATGTGTCGTCATCCACCATGACGACACATCATAAATTTTTATTTTTTCTCAGTAACAAATATAAATGTGCACTCAGTACTACAAAAGCGCTCAGAGCAGTTTCGATTTCTGTATCGGACATCTTCACATTGGCCCTGACGGGACAGAACTAGTTTATTAGCCAACGTGTGTACGCCTCACCGAACTCGCAGTCCAACGTTGGTACGAGCGTTGGGACCAACGTGTGGAGCCGGCCCTAGAGGCGACACTGCATTCAGCTACTCTGTTCCACTCAGCTGCGGTGCATACACCGCACTTTGTTCAGTCACTCGCTTGGCGCTTATAGAGTTGTCACGTGTTGTGTTGATTTAAAAAAAATCTCTTGATAAAAATATCCCGTCGTGTGTACTTAGATATTGCACAAATAATTCAAGAAATGTCAGTAAAAACCAAGGAATTACTTTTCATCGCTTAATAAGATACATAATGAATAAAAAAAGTATTATATATTAATAATAAAATAAATTATTCCTAAGACGCCATGTCGTGTCATGGAATATAGATTATGAAATTAATGTGTTCAGATGCGACATTTCTGTGGGAACTTAAGTATAGGACGAATATATTATTATACACATTTTTTAACATATATAAGTTATTATAATTAGGTTAAATTTTTCATGTTTAAATCTGCTTAATATTCTTTTATTTTATTTTTTAAGTTTCCACATCAAAGTCAAAGTACGTAGTACTATTATTTATTCTGTGGCCAAAGTGGAATAAATTCGTCCATTTTTAACTCTCGCGTGCCCAGCATTTATGAACGATTCTTATTCTAATTTAAAAAAATATATTTTTAATTTAAATGTTATGATAATAAGTTTTGTTAAACATACATTTAGTATGTTTTTTTATATTTGACATAGATACCTTTTAAAATATTCCGATAAAAATATCATTAAGATGTAATTGTGATATAATATTATGTAATATTATATTAAATAACCAAATATAATATACAAAATAAATGATAAAATTTAAATATTTTTTCCGATATAATTTACCTATTTAACTATACAATCTACTATTACCTACGGATCATTCTACCTATGTTTATTCTATGATAAAAAAACCAACCGCGCGAACACAGAGTAGCGCACATTTTTTGTTTGAGATAGCTGTTCTAGTACGTAAGTACATATTACTTCAATGGTTTGAAACTTTTTTTCTAACATCCATACTTTTTGAGTTATAGGACGTTTCATGTCACGCATAGCTGCCCGCGTCAACCGCCGAGCTCGGCCGACGCTCGGCAGGTGACGCTGCAGCTACTTTACGATTAAGAACCCAGATTTTATTGCTATTATTTTGGGGAATTCTAAGTAAGACGTCATTATTGTTAACTAACTACGACTTACGGAGTCTCCTTTTTGAAATTCGAGTTATAGATTATAAATATCTATTATCAATATTTCGTAGGGAAATAACATTTTCTTCGAGTTACAAAGTCTAATAATTCGAGATACCGCGTATTTAGGGGTTCAACGGAAGGGAATGGCATTTTTTTTCGACTTACTGAGGATTTCAACTTAACGAGGTTTGAGTTATATACATTCCACTGAGTATCAAAACACGCATATATTTTTTTAAGTACAGCGTGTCTTTCAGCAACTTAATATTACCAAGTTTTTAAGTTTATATGTGAACTATATAATATAATTATTTTTAAATGTTATTTATAATCCTATCTATGTGAAAAGGACCAGGTCGGATTTCCCTCTTGATCCTGAAAAGGACCAATTGAAAAGGACCTAGCGGATCGGGTACTAAGAAACAGGAATCGAGGCTTCTCTCGATCCGGCCTCCTATCACGCCTACGTTGGGTTCGGGAACAACGTATGTGATCTCCGCAACGGAGTAACACACTAGGGCGATAACCTCTTCCTTTTCAGCAAGTAGGTTCAGACGGGGATTACGGGTCTTCCGAAGTCGTCCCGGTCCCGACGCCTTAATTCTTCGATGTGGACTGTATAACTTAAAGGATCTTGGGAATGAAACAGCAATTATCTTCAAACCGTTCCGTGAGAGAGTAATCACTTTTCCCTATACTGCTGGTTTTTCACTTTTCTTGAACTTTTTCCCGGATTTTCTTATTTATTTCCGAACTATTTCCTTGAATATTTCCCGAACGATTCTCGAACGATTTCCTTGAATATTTCCCGAACCATTCCCGAACGATTTCCTTGAATATTTCCCGAACCATTCCCGAACCCCGAACATTCCCGAACGATTTCCTTGAATATTTCCCGAACCATTCCCGAACGAATTGCAATAAAATCAATTTACTATCCTACCCCTAAGCTAAACGCGAAAGTGAGCCGCGCCATCTGCGCGCTTGCGCAACTTAATTACATGAATTTGTACTATTACTCTCTCACGTTTCACTCAATATCTTTATTTATTCAAATCATATACAAATACAATTTATCAATATAGGTAGTACAAAACAATATCTACACCATGATATACATCATATCTTCATATCATAAAAAACCTTTTATTTATTAAACGAAAACTGCCTATTTTACTCACAAGTTCGAAATCGAAATTTCTTAAATATTTAACACAGAAAGTTAAAACAATGTTTCTCACTTGAATTTATATATAAGCTAACCAATACAATAGTTTAATTTACATTTTTTCTATTTATTTCACTATTTAAAACACTTTTAAATTTCTTATACAAAACTATCATTATTTCACTTATACACAGGAATTTTCACATGAAAATAACACAGAATTTACCTTTTTAGCACGTACAATTAACCTGAAATATTTTACAAGTAATTTTTACATAAATCACTGAATTACAAACATTTTAAATTTTTACATATTCGGCCTCCTAAGGGCGTGGCCAGCGTGCTTCCGTGTACTCACGCTATGTGAACAACTAACTTTGCACGGCTCTCGGCTATCAGAAAAAATTAAATTATGAAATACACCAATTTTGACCACATTAGGCAAATTAAATGCTTTTATACAATTTTCGAACTGTATGAAACTATCTTTAATCAGATAACAATATAAATGAATGTTCTCATTAATCAATCATAACAAATAGGCATTTGTTTTCGTACAAAACGTATCAAACTTATACAAAACAACATTTATGCAATTAATATCCATTAATTCTGCCTATGCACAGAGTGATTATCTCGACCGGGGAACAAATCCGATCTTTAACTTCACTTTAATATTCTTATGAATTTACATCATTTGAAAGATGATTTCAACCGGGGAACAAATCCGGTAACATAATTTATATCTTAAATTCCTTACGAATTTATTAAGCGATATTACTTAGGAAAACAAACAAACTAGTCCGGCCTGGGAGTCGAACCCAAGACCTTCATATCATTAATTCGACATTTCTTAAAGATTTAACTAAGCATTCTCTTATCAGAGCGTCGTTGCTCGTGACTGCCCCTTTTTTCATAGCAACGTCATCGGTTGATTTAATAAACTGAAACATTTTTATAGGCGCGTCGCCAACAATCTCCCCCCCGTGCGTTAGCACCATCATTTGGGAGGCGTCGCGGGTACCAGGACTATTATTCTGGATGTAGGTCTCCTCAAGATACCTGTGCTAGTAATGACGTCAACCACTCTGGTGTGACCGTCTGGTCCCGGTAACGTTCTACTAATTTTACCTTTTGGCCACGTATTTCGTGGCAACGAATGATCTATTATCAAAACAATATCGCCTTCTTTAGGTTCCATGAACTTGCCGTTATCACCTGTTCGAGGTATTAACGTAGGCATGTATTCTTTCAGCCATCTTGTCCAAAAATGGTCGGCTAACCTCTGTGCAGCTTTCCAATTGAGTTGACCCGTCAGATGTCGCTCTAAAAATAATCCAGGTGGTCGATCACCACATGAGCGTCCCAGAAGAAAATGGTTGGGTGTCAAACCCTCTTCAGGACTATCCATACTGAATGTTACCAGAGGTCTGGAATTTACCGTATGCTCTGCTTCTAAAAGTAACGTATGTAGAACCTCCTCTCGTGGGCTCTTCTCCTTAAGCGTAGCGGTCAACGCAATTTTAATCGATCTTACTAACCTCTCCCAGGCGCCACCCATGTGCGGTGCTCCCGGAGGTATAAATTTCCATTTAATATATTTCTTAAATGACTCGTTTTTCATGCCCTCATAGCATTCTTCGCATGCTTTCAATAATTCTTTATTTGCAGCTTTGAAATTTGTCCCGTTATCGCTGTATATAACGGCTGGTTTTCCTCTTCTGGCGATAAATCGCCTTAACGCCATTATCATTGACGCTGGTGTCAATGAGGCTGCTAATTCCAGATGTACTGCTCTGGTGGTCAGACACGTGAATAAAACGCCCCAACGTTTTTCGTGTCGCCTTCCTATAGTCACACTC